TCAGTGGTGTCCCAGTTATCTTGTGTGTTCTGTTCATTCTTTATTATTTTTTATTAATGTTTAAATATGATAATTGCTCAACCAATTATCCATCCCTATCTTATTGGGAAATTGGCTGTAGGAGTACAGGGTAATGACTTATCCATCCCTATCTATCAATTATTCATTATCTATCTTACTGAAGACAATATGATAATTGTCTTTAAGCCTTGATATATTTCTTATGCTTAGTCTATTGGTGAGATTTTTGACAGATTTTGTATCTGACTCATTAACTTTCCATTTCCAATAATTTTGGTTCTTTTCCAATTGAATTGCTCATTCATATGCTGTATTGTCTTCCTTAATTCACTCAGCTGTTTATTTGTATGTTCTTGGAATTCATCAAGGTTTTAAAAATCATCCTTTTGGGTTCTTTGTCAGACATTTTATACCTTTATGTATATTTGGAATCAGTCAATAGATTTATGGGCTTTAGGATGTATCATATTGATTTTATTTTTTCATATTTTTTGTTTCTATGTAGCGATTTATGCATCTGTTGAGATTGCTATTTCTTCCACTTTTACATGAGGGCCTTCTTTGTAAACAGCCTTCTCTCAATAATGTTCCCTGAGATAATGGGTTGTTGTATACTGTTGAGGTTAATTCCAATTGAATTTCAGAATGTTGTTTCTCTATGGCCTCTTTGGTGTAAATAGAGGTACTTGACAGAATGCATAATGTGTGAGAGCTTGAGGGACCTAATTCCTCTGTAGCTCTTGCAAGATTGGGGTCCCTCATGTAATTCAGATAGGTGTGTTGTAGTCAGCAGGATATATGGGGTGTACCCTTTGTGGATACCCCTTCAGTTTTATCTGTACTTCCTACTCTGAAATGGGAATAACCTATACTGAGGACCCTCATAGATAGAATATGCAGGATTATTGGGTGAATGTTTAGGGGCAAAATGTCAGGATCCCTCTATCCATGCCTCCTTGGGGTCTAGTTAATGGTTGAGAGCTTTTATTTACACTGTTCTTTAAATTGAACTATCTGCCAAGGCTCAAGCAGAGTTAGCTCATGTCTGGAATAGCATTTAGCTTCTTAGAAATGGGACGGGAGTGTATCTCAGTTGAAGACCACCCACCAAACATGCTCAAAGTGACTAGCTCAATCTCCAGCATCACATAGAAAGAGAAAACCAAACAGCAACAATGAAACAAACCAGATAAAGAAATAAAGTAAAACCAAGTACAAAAAACAACTACAATATCAGTGACACAGATGAAAGAGTCAAAAGTGGTACAGAATTAACTAAAAAGTTAAAAAAATAGCAAAAATAAAAATAATTTATAAATCTAAAAATATAAAAGAAAGGGGGAAAATCAATTCAAAAAAGAAGAAAATTTTAAAAATTAAAAAAGGAGAAGTAGGAGAGAACTAAAATGTGAATAAATATAAAAGAAAAAAAACAAGGGAAGAGAAAAATTAAATATTAAAATTAGAAGAAAATAGAGAAAAAATTATATTCTAATAAATAAGAGCAATAGCAAAGAGTATTAATAAAGAGTAAAAATTTCTTCTCTGTTGATGTGCTTAATTGTGCAGTCAAGTGTGGGTGTTTACAACAACCTATGCCAATCAGAGCTTCTTTCTATGTCTTCTTAGTTTGTGCACCCTTGGTTATAGCAAATACCAGGGATCTTTCACCATCAACATTTTCCTTTGTTGTGCCCATCAGGTGACCAGGGGAGTGGTTTGTGGTCAGAGCCAGTTGAAATATCTCTCAGATGTCCTGAATGCCAAAATGAACTAGGGCAGAACTCAGAGCTCCCTAGGCAAAAATTTACTCTAGAGTTATTTGGGCTGCCCACTCCTAAAGCAAGGCAGACATTACCACTGCAGTGTGTCAGGGACTTGGTGCCTTTGTGCTGTATGTTATGAGTACAGGAAGGAATTTTGGACTCAATTATTTGTGCCAGGGGAAGGGTCGTGGTGGGCTGCACATTCCATGGCCCATCATTAAGGTCTTCCTAGACTTAGCTCTTCCTAAAATCAGACCTGACCGGTCATTACCCTGTACTCCCGCAGCCAGTTTCCCAACCTGCTGCTGTTTGAAGGGGAAGTGTCCTATGTTCCCATATGTGTTCAAGCCCAGTTCCCCTCCCCTGCATAGAAATCTCAGTGGGTTTGTGTCAGGGGATCCCCCAGTGAGCCAAACTAACTCCCAAGGCCATTGACCACTGATCTAAGTCTAACAATATTGCCTCAAGGGCCTGGAGATATAAAAATGCAAGGAACTTTGACTCCTAGAATAATCAACTCAGAAAGACCTAACTGAGATGGCTCTTTCTTTCAGTACCATGAAAAAATAATTGGCAAGTTTATAGAACATCTCCAGATTCAGTTTGCTATGCAGTTTCCAAGTCTGTTGTCTATTTAGAGTGTGTTTCAGCAAGGTGCTGATTCCTGTGTTTCTGGTACTCACTGGGACTCCCACTCTCTCACTTCTACCTATGACCTCTGCTGTGATGCCAGGTGATTGGAGTGGAGGGCTCCATTTCACCCTGTTCCACTATACAACATTTTGGGGGTTTCTACAAATCTCTATCTATTATTGAACTCCAGCATTTTCCCATAGTCACCTTCCTCAGTAGGTCTCCAGTTGTTTTTATTTTATCTCATGAGTAAGCAGGTGAGTTCTAGGTGCCTATAATCTGCCATCTTTAATTGTTTTAGGAGCATCTTTAGGGGAAAACAACTCATCCTACTGACCTGAGGCCAGTAGGCTTTGTTTGAACATCATCCTTATAGAGCAAATATCTTGTCACTTTTTTGGGCATCTTTATATAGTGACACCCAATATGTAGTCTTCTGAAAAAATTCCAGATAAGCAGATATAAGTACATGCTGATCTTGACTTCCTCTTTGGTCTGGATGGTCATTTGATAATAAGAAAGACTTTAGGTCGTGTATGTTGGACTGGATGTCATTAGGAACATTTCCTTTATATTTTTCATTCCCATTGTCACAGTCATGAGGGATATGATGGTTCTGATTTCTTTCTTTTTTTGTAGTGCTGAGAATCAAGCTCAGGGTCTCATATGTATTGGGCAAGTACTATACTGCTAAGTTATATTTCTGGTCCTAATGGCTCAGATTTCTCAAATAAATATTGCAACACCATCACCACCATCACCACCACCACCACCAACAACAATAACAACAAAACTGGAGAATACAGTCCTCACATACATCTTCAATAAAGAGAATGGATTTTAAAACTTCTTCCAGCATGTGATTAGTCTAAACCACTGGAAATGTTAAACTTCCCATCTCCCTGCCCTTATTCCTCCCAGACCCATCCCCAAAAGTTTAATATTTCACCTCAAAGATTGCAGGTGGAATTAATACTTTATCAGTTTGCTAGAATTTTATAATTGCACAAGCTTTTCAATTTTTTTATTTTTTAATGTTATATACTAGTAGTTATAAACAAGTGACCCTTAGGCCAAATCTGACCAGCATGTATAATATTTTTGATCAGCACAGCTTTTGACAAAAGTTGAATTTGAATGCCTTAGGCAGGGTGTTCATTCTTCAGTCAGCTTGATTTCCATTTTCTCTGTCTCTTTCCCCTGACTCACACACTTACATTACTTGCTTGATTCCTTCCTTGAAGGCATTTGAAATTGCATCCCCTACTCTGTATTGGTGTGATTTTTTTTTTTTTTGTAAATAGACTACATAGAGAAAAGTACACACTATCATAAGTGTATAGTTCCATGAATTATTCCCAGGGAACACACCCATGCAACTCTAAGCAAGGTCAATAAATAGAACCTTATTGACATTAGAAGTTTTATCATCTTCATTTGTGTTCCCCCCCTAACAAATTCTAAGGCAAAGTTAAGGCTACACGTGATCCCAAGAAAACACCGTGAAGATATGAATTTCTGATAGAGGTACATGGTTGTATTGGCTTTCTTTTAGATTTTCCCCCTTATTTTATTATCTTAGCCTGTTTTGTGCTCATATTACAAAATATTTGAGACTAGATAACTTATAATGAATAGAAATTTATTTCTTGACAGTTCTCGTGGCTGGGAAGTCTAAAATCAAAGTGAGAACATTTGATGAGGGCCTTTTTGCTGCATTATAACTTGGGTGAGAGAGAGAGAAAAGGAACCTAGCTTCTCCTTAAGAAATCCACTCTAGCAATAATAGAATTAATCCATTTGTAAGAGTTTTGCCCTCTTGATATAATCACTTCTGAAAGGTCACACCTCTCAATACTATTTCATTGAGGATTCCAACACATGATCTTTGGGGGACATATTCAAATGATACACTCCTCCAGTCCCACAAAATTGGTTGTCCTTTTCAAATGAAAATGATTATTATCCCAATAATCCCCAAACTTCAGCATCAAGTCAAAGTCCAATGTCGAGAGCCTCGTCTAAATGAGGTATAGGTGAGACTAAGGCATAATTCGTCCCAATTAAAGTTTCCTCTAGCTGTGAGCCTGAGAAATTAAAATATGTTGTGTGCTTTGCAAAATACATGATGAAGAAGTCATAGAACAGACAATCCTATTCCAAAAGGAACAAATAGGCAATAAAAAAGGATTAACAGGCTATGAGTAAATCCAAAATCCCAAATTATTTCACTTCATGTGCCTCCTGGGCACACTGGGGGTTTGGGCCCCCAAAGTCTTGGGAAGCCCTGTTCCCATGGGTTGGAGAGCTATATAGCAGCCATCACAGGTCAGAGTCTCATGCCTGAAGCTCTCCCAGGATGATATTTCTCTACAGTTTGAAGGCTTGGAGGTACCCATGGCCTTGCTCAGTGGGAACTCCCTGTGGCACCTCTAATCACGTAGCAATATTTATTGAAGGATTTTCTTCCCCCCAGCCTTTGATGCTATCAGCAAGTTTTGGTCCCTTTAGGAGGTAAGGCCTAGTGAAAGGAGGATATTGGAACCCTGCATCTTTCTTCTTTCTCTCTTTGTTTCCTAGTTGCCATGAGGTATTTTCCTCTGCCATGTATTCCTGCCATGATGCACTGCCTTGCCACAGACACAAAGGCACTCAGACCAAGCAACTATGAACTAAAATCTCTGAAACCTGTGAGCCAAAATAAAATTTTTATTCTTATAAATTGATTATCTCAGCTATGTTGTCACAGCAGTAGAAAGCTAAGACCTTATCATCTTACTTTTATTTTAACTTTTCTGTACATCATATTTAAGATATACATCTTTTATGAATGGATTAAACTTTTAAATCTAGTACAATAATCTTGTTATTTTAATTGAAATATTTAGTCCATACACAACTGCCAATATATTTGTCATTTAAAGTTATATCGTATTGATTCTGTCCTAATAATTCTAACTTTTCTTTCCCTTCTTAACTTCCTATAGATTAATTATAATAACACATATATCCTATATAAATTTTGGCATATTTAAAATATTCCATTGTGTCTCTCTTTTGTCCAGGAACTTATTTTTCATAACTTGGGTAGATAACCCTGGAGAGTCAACATACCTTCTTTACATTAAAATCTAATATAAGTTAGTACTGTTACTACATACAAAAAATTCAAGGACTTTAAAGTCTTTAACTCTCTAAATCTCTTTATTTTGTTTATTTTATTTTGTTCATTATTGTCATGTATATTTTTTATTTTTGTTTTAAGTTTTGTCAAGAAGAGTTCAAACATGAAAATTAGAGAGAATAGTATAAGAACCCATGAACTTATCATCAAGCTTCAACAATTTTCAATTTCGGAAAATCTGTATCACTGCCCACCATTGCCCTCAAATTGTTTTGAAGTAAATAAAAGACATATTTTTAGTTTATCTATACATAGTTTAGGATGTATCCTTAAAATATGAGCAAACCTTTAAAAATAAAATATAAGTGAATTCAGTTAATAGTTTTTATTTACTTAAATTCAAGATTTTGGAGGTTTTACATAATCTAATAATTTTCCTATGTTCTAATTCTCTGTTTGACTTTTTTTTAAAAAAAATATGCACCACTTTGTGGTACTTTGAATCCATGGTTTAATGTCTTTCAGGAGTTTGGGTAAATTACCAGCCATCATACCTTCAACTATTATTTCCATCTATTCTATCTTATCTCTTTCCGAGAGTTTTTTCACTGTGCCCATATGCTGTTTACTTTTTTTCTGTAGTTTCCATCCTTCATTTTTCCATGCTTCAATCTGATTATTTCCTTCTGATCTATTCTCCAGTTCAATAATTTCTCTTCAGCTATATTTAATTTACTGCCAAACTCTACTATTGTAGTCTTAGTTTTAATTATGTTAAAATTTTCATTTTTTAAGTTTCCTGTTATTTCTTTCTAGGACTTTCAGTCTTTCAGTTTCTTGAACAGATTAGCAATAGTTATAAATTTTATAACTGTTAATTCCAATTGCTAGATCTCTTGTGCCACCATTTTCCTTGTCTACTTTTCTCCTTGCCTTTGGTCAATTCTTGACTTTTGCATTCCTGATTACTTTTATGAAATGAAAAACTGTAAATGAAAAAGTATAGTTAATTTAACATTTTTTGATAATATTATAAATAAAATCCATACTCTAAAGTGGATTTACTTTTGTTCTGAAAGATAGCTTAGGTACATATAGAGGTAGCACATAGATCATCTGATTCCATTTAGTGTTGGAGGTTTCTTTTAGTCTTTGTGAGGGCTGGTCTATTTTCAGTTCACTCTTATAAGTTGTAGTATGTCAGTAGCCCCATCAGAGATACTGGTATTAAAAAACCTGCTATGCCTGGGCAGAGAAATTTTTGTCCTATAAGTCCAATAAGACTACTAAAGACTCTATTCCGCTTTTCAAGATTCTGTTTCTGCTTTTAAATTGATTCGTAGATGGGAGTAGTGGTATCAAGTAATGTATTTAACCTTGGCATTCTCTTTTATAAGGTTATCTTGGTCATTCAAGTCTTAGCTATTTTGGTAGTCACATGATGCCCTCTAATAATTTTTAAAATTTGTTCAGATTTTCTAATACTGTAGGCAGCAGAGTTTGTCTAAAATGAACCACCTCAAAATTTTTGAAAGCTGAAGGCATGTTATTGAGCTAACATTACTTATCATGCAGTTTTCTACAATTCAAACCAGTTTATTTACATGTTATGACATGTAAATAGAAATATGAATATGTGTTTTTGCTTGTCTGTTTATCATTGTCACTGGTTCTATGGTACTTTTTTCCTTTCTTTCTTTTTTTAGGAAATTACTTGTTTAGTTTAAAAAGTTTGCTATTTTCTTTGGAAAATATGTGATGGTTTGATAGGAATAAAAACAGAATAGAAAAATCAAAGCTCTTGGCATTCGATAATAGACATTCAAAAGTGAAAAAAAGTAAAAAAATGAAGATAAAACACAAGGCTAGATAGAGCAAGGTAACATTGAGAAATGTCTAGTGGCAGCTGAAAGTTTTAAAAACACAAAATATTCTAAGATAATTTACTTTTCATTGATATGATATCCTTATATTGCGTGAAGTGTTCAGTAAAGCCTTTTAAGCATAGTAAGGCCTATTTCTGTGGATGATTTTAAAAAGTAAAGTAAAAAGGGGCTGAGTGCCTTGACAGGGACAGCATGGAACAGCAGCAACAAACCCAAGTTAAATAACACAAGATGCTGGTGACATGAGAGATTAATAGTTGAGTAGGAAGCAAGAACCAAAAGTGATACAAATATAGGGTTCAGAAAATTTACAGAAACTTTGGGCATAACATTGACTTATGGTAGGGGATTCAAATCAAATCAAAATATAAATCTCAATGAATGGGGTCTCTCAGTTGATACCTAAGTAACTTTTACAAACATACTCTGGCCTCAGAGATGTACCATCACTCCTACCCCAAGGATCTGAAATCATGGAGAGATGGGCAGGGATGATATTTTCATATCTCATATAAGCAGTTTAATCACAGACTCTCTGAGCCTTCATCTTAGACCATTAGCAGTGCTGTGTTTTTGAGAATTATTCTTTGCTTGAATTGCTCCTCACCTGACATCTTGAGTTTCTCCAGAAAGTGTTAACTGTCTAGAACATTCATGAGAAATCAAACCTGGTTTCAACAGACTATGAATTAGAAAAGAACATGCATCTTTTCTCTTTGGTAATAATGGTGAAATTTCCATGATTGATCTGTTATTTGTGGCAAGACTTTAAATTCCAAGTTGATATCCTTGCCACCTCTAAGTTTTACACTCTTAGAGAATACATAGTTTCAGAGAATATGGGTTACAGCCCTGTAATCAGAGAAATGTGATGAAACAAGTTGTGATGCTCTCAATCAGGTATTTTGAATCCTAGGATTTACTGGATGACGATTACCACTCTCTACTCCTCTACAGCTGTGAGAGTGAATAATGGGACTCATGTTTATAGGAATGACTGAAGGAGATTTCCCCCATCACGTGTCCCACCTTTTGGGCTTAGGTGGTTCTTATATTCTTTATACTTTTTAAATGTTTTTTTTTTCTTTTTTAGTTGTAGATGGACACAATACCTTTATTTTGTTTATTTATTTTTATGTGGTGCTGAGGATCGAATCCAGTGCCTTACACCTGCTAGGCAAGCGTTGTACCACTGAGCCACAACTCCAGCCCTTCTTTATACTTTTTAATGGTGTCTTTCTCATAGCTCAAGTAGCTCAGATTGTGTCAACTTTCCTCAGAATCTTGCTACAATACATAGGCAAAGAAAGGGGGATCCAGGTTGGGAATGAGGCATAACTAAGGTTCTCCTATAGGTTAATGTCATATTTTTCATATTTTGGCTCAAGGCTAAATTCCAAGAACTCCTTTGCCGGTACTGCAGCTAGGATGACAGCACAGGTTGAACTGTACTAAATAGATCCTTTTGAAAGTCATCTAACATCAATCCTTGTTTACACTTAAGACTTAAAAATTTGTTTGCAATTTAACACATTTATATGCCACTGAGATTCCATTATAGACTGATCCAAATTAAAGTAATATGACAGCTATCTGCTCTGCTCCCAGAGCTCAGGACTCCAGCCAGGCTTAGCCTGGAACCTCTGTGAGTCTCATTTGCCCACTCTCTTCTCTGGCTTTATGGAATGCTACTCTCTTCCTGGTTGTATTTTCCTTTTCTTTTTGAACATGAGCTCTACCAATCTGGCCTCTAAACCTTCCTATTGGGGTCTTCCCTTCATAGATCACCTTCTTTCTTGATATTTTGCCATTTCCCTTCCAGAAGTGCTGTGCTTGCACATCTACCAAGTAGGCCATTCCCAAAGTTTACATGTAAACATTCAGATCCTGGATATCATCTTGCTTCCTCATACCCCTCCAGCAGAGGTGCTATACCTTCACTTGCACTTTGAAAGCAGTACCACAGGATTTAGTCTGCAAAGTACCTGACACTTCTCTTTTTATTATTGAATAGAGATCTTTCTGGTTCATTTCTTAGGATGTATTACTTAAGTTCCCAATATGGGATGACATGGCGATATTATCTTAGTGAACTAGGGAGACTGCTATGTATAAGAAAACCCTATAGAACCCTTTGGTGATATTAACAATGGTATTTCCAATTCTGAATATAAGAACTTATTTTTATATTTCACTGGCATATAAATGTGTTAAATTTGTTAAAGGAAATATTCAAACATCAGTTTTATAGAAATTGCTCCTGAGTTTACTGATACCTTTTGACTGCTAGCACTGCATTTCTATGGGTAGAATAATCAAAAGCAGGAGCCATAGGGATTGTGCACACAACTTCTTCCTCTCCCACTGAAACAGTTGCTTACCTGTGATGGCCAGATGAGTCACAAAGAAGGTCATTCTGGACTTCCTCTTCCTCCTCCATGTGGAGAACAGCACGACTGCATTTCCAACAATGGTGAATACAAAGAGGACCCACAGGGTTATCAACTGCTCAGTCTGTAAGGAGCAGAGAAACACAGAACAGCTGTACTGTAAGGACCAGGCTACTTTTCTGAATGTACAGTGCAGGCATTGGTGCTGGATGTGTTCCTTCTGGTCCCTTATCCTCACATGTGGAAGTTTGAATCTCAAGAGAATAATGACAACATGGTCCACATTTACATCAGCAGCACAGTAAATTAATGTGCCTTAAAATATTTTTAGAAATGTATAGCAAGAGACTAAAACAAACAACAGAAGTTTTATTCTTTGGCCAAGTAATTTTAACTCCATGAGAAAGTTCAAGGTGTGAAAAAGAACACTGAATCACGAAGATTGTTGTGCATACTTATTATAAGAAGAAATTGGAAATTGTATAGATAACAAGATAGTTAAGTGAATCAAGCATTTCAATTCAGTGAACTATTGTGTAATGATTAACAGTGACAACCTTGAAGACTCTATGACTAGATTAAAAATACTTATAGTATAATGGTAAGTGGGAAAACATGATAAAATTATATATTGGGTATGATTACAACTCTACAAAATTATACACATAGGAAAAAGGCTGAAGTATACTAAAATGTTAAGAGTGGTTATTTTGGGGTAGAATGATTATGGGTTCTCTTTTCTATCCTTTGGCAGAATTTCATAAGACTGTAATATTAAAGTTCTGCTGAAATATGTGTGATTAGTAAAACAATAACAAAAAGCATGAATACCTTTCATTTATAATGCCAATACTTCATAAAAAGCCTCCCATGATTCTTCAAATGGGTCTTGTTATTGGTGTGATGTCTGTGGCCCAGAATGAATAGAGGCCAAGGCACCAGAATGAGCTAGACTCAGGATGCAGAACAAGCTCATGGGAAGAGTGTGTGGCTGCAGGGATGCTGGAGAAACTTGAACTCAAAACCAAATGGCCCAACAGAGACATCAGCTCAAAAGGTCTGGGCAGGGTCCTTGTAAGAATGCACAGATCTGAGACTGAAGCCACAGAGCTTCTGTTTGGAGGAGAAGATAAGAAGAGCCAGAAGAAATTCCCTGTGGTTGTTAAATTTTATGTATCAACCTGATTAGGCTGTGGGTGTTCAGATGTTTGGTCAAACCCTAGTTTAAGTGTTGTGATAAGGATCTTTTATAGATGTAATTAACATCTGATATTACTTGACACAGAGTGAAGCAGATGACCCTCACTAATGTGGGTGGACCTTAGCCGGTGAGTTGGCTTACAGTGGGGTGACATCCTAGCGGGCACATTCTAAATTGAAAATTTCATAAGTTATAAGTGTATGTAATACATCTAACCTACTGAACATCCTAATTTAGCCTAGCCAACCTTAAATGTGCTAAGAGCACTTAGATTAACCCACAGTAGGACAATCTATCTATTATCTAACACAAAATCTATTTTACAATAGAGCAATGACTATCTCATGCAAGTTATGAATGCTGTGGCAATACTGTACACTGTAGAATATCAGTTACTCACTCTCCTGATTACATGGCTGACTGGGAGCTGTGGCACAAAATTTCCATTCTCAGCATCACAAGAGTGTATCATACTACATACTGCTAGTCCAAGAAAAGCTCAAAATCAAAATTCAAGTACCATTCCTACTGAATACATATATCTTTTGCATCATTGTAAAGCCAAAAAATATCATGAGTTCCATCATCATTAAATTAGGGACCATCTTACATATGTATGTATATAATTCTGGAGAACACTGACTGATATGCTCCCTGAGTACCTAATGTCACGGCTGCACTTTTTTCTGTTTACTATATTAAATTAATTTTAAAATTATATAATGACATATAAGAATGAATTCTCCTTTAAGAAACTAAAACAATGGAGATAGAACCAAATCTTCCTTTCTCCTTGCTACATAGCTCCCCATTCCCAAAAAGTAAAAATAATTTTGAATACAGTGTACATTTTTCCCCAGTCCTTTGAAATTAAGAAAGTCTCCATATTGTTCAAACTTTCTTTCTTAGTCAGTTGGAGGGATAGCCAAATAAAAGTGATATTTTATATAATGTAACAAAATACTTTGATCCAAGAAATGGATTAAGTCTAGGAAAACAAAATATGTTGAAGGACTGGGCAAGTTTACAGGCTTAGGTAATGAAGGGAGTTTGTTCGATTCTCTTAGGCCCCAACTCCTAAACACAGAAGAACTGTGATTCCCTTTGGATGCCAAGTTGGAATGTAAACTTTTTCTACCAGGTTTCAGAGAAAGGGAAATTTTCTTGGAATTAACCCTCCAGTTTCTATCCTTGCCAGAATTCCAGGCTGAAGCTAGAGAGCATCTCCATGAGTACCTCACTTAACAAGTTGATAATTTGACTCTCCATCCCAGGTTTTCAGTTGGGTTCCTGAGCCTAGGACAGAAGTCAGATCCTTGGGAGTACAGTATTATGGAAGTTAGGGAGGAAGGCATTGTGGTAGTTGTAGAATGGTGATGTAGAACTGGCATGGGAAGACCACAGGGTTGAAGATCTGTGCTACTTTGGAGGGCACAGGGGGCAGATACCTTACGTAGAGAATGTTTCTGTCATTTCCCACTTGGAGGGCAGCTCTTTTGCATGGGCCCAAGCTACATACTTGCTCTCTGGTTCTTGGTTCAGCAGATGGGTTATCTTCTTCAGGGTGATTCATTTGCTCTAACAGTCCTCACATGGGTATTGAGAAAGCCTCAGGAATGGAAACTAATTATTATGATAAGAACTGTCCTGGCTTCAATGAAGAAATGCTTTTTTTTGAAAGAGAAAAAAAATGCTTTTGAGATGACTAGACAACTAACTATGTTGCCAGAAGCAGATAGAACAGGAGAGGACCTTGATATATCTTACTAGCACATTCTGTTCAACTAGTGGGACATAAGAAAGAAATCCCTCACCATGAAGTATTCTCTTTCAGATTTGAAAGATCTAGAGTATTTAGAGTTCATCATAGGATATGAGAACCCTGGAGATACCCCAACAACTTTATTTGGATGATTGGCCTTTAAAAACACTATATAGTAACATGGATAACAGTATAAGAAGGCAGATGGTTGGAAGTTCCCATTAGCAGAAAGTCTCACTGATTCCATGATCTAGACAGATGTTGCTGTTGAGGACCAGGGTGGTAGATAAAGTGTGCATATCCCTGATATAGCCTTAATATAGTGTGTTGTCAAGGGTAACGATAGTGTCCTGGGGGTATCTATACTTCAGAAAAATCTGAAGTGGCCTAATGAGCAGGTGGTATAGCAGGGAAGGTCTGACAGAGGACCCACCAAATACTCTTGCTCAGTCTATGAAGCAAGCTGCAGTGCTGAATGGCCCCAGGAAGTGCTGTGACAGTGTTGGGCCAGTTCTCCAGGGACAAGCTCTTCTGTATTTCCCTCTGTTCCCCATGGCATCTTAACATTCTAGGTTTTCTGGAAGCTCCATATCTCTCAGAAATGTTTCTGTCTGTGACTTGTGAGCATGGCTGTGAGGAGCTGTGCATGTTGGAAACCTTTGGAATGTGTTTCTCGAAGTATGGTCCATTGCTAGGGTAATGATGCAACCTGGTTTTCCTAGGACAGACCTAGTTTTACTGTCTTATCCCAAAGTAATTTTTTCAACTGACATTTAACTTCCCCAAAGTGGCCTTGGTTTTGATGGTAAATTATATAGTCTCTTATTTTTTGTGTACCAGTGTATGGGCTTCAGATACTATATCCCGGTCTACAGAAATCCCTCACCATGAAGTATTCTCTTTCAGCTTTAAAAGATCTAGGGTATTTAGAGTTCATCATAGGATATGAGGACCCTGGAGATGCCCCAACTATTTCACTCATTGAACTTTGAACATAGGCATTTCAACCATAGAAAAGAGGAGAAGGCTCATGACTCTAGTGGTTCACCAATGTCCACGACTCTCACTTCTCCCAGTCTCAAGATGGCTGTCTCGCATGGGAACAGCACATGTGTCTTTGGCCCTGCTGAGAGCCCCAGGAAGTGATTGAGCACATTCTAGCTGGCTGGAGAAGAGGTGCAATCTCCTACACTGCCATTCTTTACTTATGTGAAAAGAAAAACTGAATCCACAAGGCTCTGCACACCTTGCAGTTGCATGAAGTTGAAACATGTTTAGTGATGCAGGGTGATGGGTTACCTGAGGACAAGGTGAACAGAGGTGACCAGGCCTAAAATTATGTGGGAGGCAAAGCTCCATTCTCACCCCTGTGCCAATAACTGGGAAAGTGCAACTGTGCTTCAGTCTGTTACAAACTTGAGGGCTAGGACTGTCCCCTGGGAATCGGGAACTGATAAGAATGATTGATTTTCCAATCCTGACAAAGGAAGACTGAAATCCTACTTCCTCATTCTGGGCACTTGGACTGAGGAAGGCATCAGGGCAAAACTCGAATCTTTAAAAGCTGAAAGGGGCCCAAGGGTCAGTGTTGTAAAATGAAAGAGGAAATTCAAGAGTTTAGATCTATGCAGCTGGTCTACTTGGAGCAACAACCCATAGGAGCTAAGAGACAGCACCCAGTGATGAGACAGTAGGCTGGGAGCTGGGAACGTCAAAGAAGAGTGTCATACTTGCTGTGACATTTGGATTTGTGGAAGGTAGTGCATTCATTTTATGAAGGATCATAATAATAATAAAAAAACTTGTCAGAATATGTACCATTACTTTTCTTTTAACCCATTCATCCACTGAAGGGCATCTAGTTTGGCTCCACAGTTTAGCTATTGTGAATTGTGCTGCTATAAACATCAATGTGGCTGTGTCCCTATAGTATGCTGTTTTTAAGTCTTTTGGTTATAAACCAAGGAGATGGATAACTGGGTCAAATGGTGGTTCCATTCCCAGTTTTCCTATATACACAATGGAATTTTACTCAGCAATAAAAGAGAATACAACCATGGCATTTGCAGGTAAATGGATGAAGTTGGAGAAGATAATGCTAAGTGAAGTTAGCCAATCCCCAAAAAACAAATGCCAAATGTTTTCTCTGATATAAGGAGGC